GACAACGACAATCACGACAACGACAACAACGACGCCCACGACAACGACAACGACAACGACGACAACGACGACGACAACGCTGCAGGTGACGACGCCGACGACAACGCCGACGACGACGACGACGGCGATGACGGCGACGACGTCGGCGACGGCGACGACGACGACGACGACGACGACGACGACAACGACAATCCCGACAACGACAACAACGACGCCGAGGACAACGGCAATCACGACAACGACAACGACGACGACGACAACGACGACGACGACGACGACGAGCTGCAGGTGACGACGCAGACGACAACGCCGACGACGACGACGACGACGACGACGACGACGACGACGACGACGACAACGACGACGACGACGACGACGACGACGACAACGACGATCACGACAACGACAACGACGACGCCGACGACAACATCAATCACGACAACGACAACGACGACGCCGACGACAACGATAATCACGACAACGACAACGACGACGCCGACGGCAACGACACCGACAACGACGACGACGACGACGACGACGACGACGACGACGACGACAACGTTGCAGTGACGACGCAGACGACAACGCCGACGACGACGACGACGACGAAGACGACGACGGCGGCGACGACGACAACCGCGCCGCCGACGTCGCCGACGCCGACGACGACGACGACGACGACGACGACGAGGATGACGACGCCGACGCCGACAACGACGACGACGACGACGACGACCACGACGACGACGACGACGTCGACCACGATGAGGACGACGGAAACTACGAAACCGACGAAACCGATGCCTACGTGCCGACGACGACGACGGCGATGACGACGCCGACGCCGATGCGGACGCCGACGCCGACACCGACGCCGACGCCGCCGCCGCCGCCGCCGACGACGACGACGACGACGACGACGACGGCAACGGCAATAACGACAACGACAACGACGGCAACGACGACGACGACGACGACGACGACTAAGATGGCGACGCTGACAACGAAGACGACGACGACGACGACGACTCTGCCGACGACAACGAGAACGACGAGTCCAACGACGTCGCCGACAAGTGGAGTAGAACAGGGAAGGAGTGTAGTAGAATACAGTAAGAGCAAAGTGTTGTAGAGTGAAGTATGTTAGAGCACGGTAGGATACACTAACAAGATTAGGGTAGAATAAAATGTACCAGGGTATATTGGAGGAGAGTAGCGGAACGTCGAGTAGAGTGAGTAGGGTAGAGTTGCGTAGGTACAGTAGGGCTCTCGTAGGATACTGAGAGAGCTAAATCGAAACCTAATAGCATTCTATCAGAGCCGGTGCCTGGCGCGGGCGCTGGCGGCATGTGCGCCGCCGCCGCCGCTGACGTCGACGACGTCGTCGTCGTCGGCGTCGTCGTCGTCGAAGCCGTCGTCGTCGTCGTCTTCGTCGTCGCCGTTGTCGTTGTCGCCGTCGCCGTCTTCGTCGTCGTCGTCGTGGCGGCGTTGATGCCACAAGAATGGAGTTCTGGCACAATTCTGGATTGTCAAACGGTTGTCTTCCAACGGGGGATCACCCTCAGTGAAAGTGAATCCGTGTGAGCCTATGAAGAGGGAATTTGGAGGGAGGTTGGAGGGAGGACTTATTGCAATATCGTTGATGAGTCTTTGGCTTACACTGGTCCTTTTCCTCCTCCTCCTCCTCGTCCTCCTCGTCCTCCTCCTCCTGCTTCTCCTCCTCCTCCTCCTCCTCCTCCTCCTCTTCCCGCGACCATGGAGATCGCTAAGGTGGAGAGCATCAGCGTGCAGGTGCAGAAGCAGCAGGTAAGGTGGCGATTGCCGTAGAGGGCGCCATAGTACCTGGAACGGGCCAGTCATGGAATGAATGGCCTCCCTCGACCTCCAGTTGTCATGACGATGCGGTCGAAATGAAGGTAGAGAAGCTAAACGTGGGGGCAATCAGGATGCAGGAAGAAAGGCCCCAAGGTGGCCCTGGGAGGGCCCTAGGCTGCCATCCTGGCTCCAGAGGTGCTGGAGGTGTCAACCCTTCTTCACCACAAGCTCATACCCCACGACGATGCCTAATCGATGCGTTGTAGCCCTTTCGATGAACTGTTCTGGGAAACAAAACATGGCGGAAAGCATTGAGCGTCGAGGTCGGACGCGGCCACAAGAAACCCAGCCCTAAACGCCCGCGCCCGAGATGCACACGGGGGGAACCCAGAGCACACTGCACGCAGCAATTTCTTCCACGGCCGCGGATAGCCACCGCGCAGCACGCGGAACAAGGAAGTATCCAGGGCACCCAGACGAAAGGCATGTATGATCTTTTCATGCGCGGCCTGCTTCTGCATGGGCCCTTCCGAGGGTAGCCCCCGGGCCCCTTAGCAGAAACAGACCGTTCCAAAGGACGGGATCGATATAGAAAATCCGCCGAACCATTGGGGTCTCACTGGCGTGTGAGACAAGTGCCTCTCCCCACCCGCCCACCCACCCTGGGAGCCCAGTCCGGTCGACCTGGACGGGAGGGGGGTCTGGCCGAAGACGGCCCAGAACGCCCCAGAAACCCGACCCCAAGAGGTCGGCGGTGCGGCGCAAGCCTTTTGAAGCGCAACGCCGTACCAGGAAGCTGGAAACAGACTTGGCTGGATTCACAAGTGGAGCATCTGAAGGCCACCTGCTGGATGCACAAACGAAGGCTCACCGAGCCTGGCCACGCGAGGGCCGAGGGCTGGAACGACATGTGGACGCGCGTGTGGTCATGTGGACACGCGTGTGGTCAAGCTCTCGCCCAGACCCGCTGCGCGTGCATCCGTCGTCCTGGTGCGTCCGACGCCTCTTCGCGCTCTCACGCTGCCCCCTGGGGAAGGAGGGGGCGCGCTCTGCGTCTCGGACCGCGGCGCGGCGGGCCCGGCCATTTCCCCGACCGTGCGGTTGGCCCGCCCTCGGCCTTTTACTGGGACCCTTTTTCTGCATGACCGGCCTGGCCATCCACGCCATGTTCGAAGACATTCGCTTTTATACACGAGCCTAGTCGACACGGGCCCTGCCATAGCACATCAGGACAGAAAGGTAAAAATGAAAGGCGCGATAGCGGTGGCGCTGAGGTAAAAGAGAAAGGTTGTTCTCCGAACCAGCGCTGCGAATTGCACGTCGCAGGCGACGCCGGCAGCGTAAGCAAATTGGGCGGCGCCGCCTAGAGACGGGGCGGCGGCAGGCGAACAACGCACTATAGAAATGCCTCCCCTGGGGCATTCCTTCAAAGTAGTACAGAAGGCAAGCGAAGTTCGACCATCGGCGCGTAATATTACAGGTTCAAGGCAACGTTGGCGAAAGCAAACAGAATCGGTAGTCGAAAGCTTGAACCACCGATGCAGTGCATATCAAACGTGGATACGAGAAGCTAAATCATGATTGAATGGACCCCGCCAACTAGCACCAAAGTGCGATGAGTAAAGACAAGCTGCATATTGTTTGGGCAAGATAGACCAGGGGGCCACCCTGAAGTCTCAGGCGCAGAGAAAACAGCATGTGAGGTCGCAACTCCACGACAACAGAGCGCAGCGAGTGCAGTCGCGACTTCGCGGCAGCAGCATGCGGACGGAGCGCGGAGACGCGCTCGCTTGCGAGCAATCGCGGGCCCGCGAAGGTTTGCGCGGGGTCTGCAAGAGGCCCCCCCCCCCCCATCTTTCATGCGCAGAACGGCTGCAACTGAATGATCCCCAGGAACTCTGGGTCTATCAAGGCGGGAAAACAGCAATCGTGGTCACCTGTCGGCATTGGAGAAATCATTGCCTCGACGCGGCTCGTGCGATTTGACTTCGCGCGTACCTCTGGTAGCCGGCCATGACTTGCAGACGCAAATCTCGGTCGATAATACCCTTGCACTGGCCATCCGCCGCCGCATCGCGAGCGCCGCGCCATTGCGCGGCTGCATCGGCGCCGAGTGTCAAGAATTATGTTTCCAGCTGATATGTCCTAAGTATGTCTTCTCCGCAGGTGCAGCGAGATCTCTGCTGGATATAAACCCCTGAACCGACCCGACACCCACCGCGAGGGGCGCCTGAACGCGGGGCCCACCGCGCTCACTGAGGCGCTTGAGTTCGGAAGGAGTCAGGGGCCCCTTGGCAGCGTTACCCGGGAAGGGCAACATTCGCCCAGACTGCGAGCGGCGGCAGGTGCATCGGCGGCGAAGCCGACCCTGACTTGAAGACGATGACATGTGCAGAGGCTGTCGGCACGGCGAGCGATCTCCTCTTTGCTGCCCGCGTTGCCACGACGCAGCTGATTGCGTCCACGGAGGCCGCGACCCTTGTTCTCGTCCTCTTCATTGGCGAGCTTCTGATACTCAGAGTCGCCGCGAAGGTCTACGGCGCCGTCATGAGTCAGGGTTCGGCAAATGGTTCCCATGGTTTCCCGCGGCAATTTGCAGGCAGGGGCGCTCAGTAATCTCACCTGCGTATTCGTCGGCCCCTGGACATGCCGATATAAGAGTATACACAAAATCGGAAGCGGGGCAAAGGCGGAATACGCCAGGGCCCCACGTTGGCTGACAAACGCACCAATGCCAATGTCACCGACAATCATACTAGCTTTTTGCTCCTGCGGAGGCACCCACAAGATCGGAATACGCGGTCGGGCGATGATGTTTCACGTACTCGTACTGTTCCATGACAACCCCCCACTTTTCCGTCTGGGCGCATATCGCTGCACACACATCGCGTAAGTTTGTCCATTCGACATGCACTTGCCAATGCCTGCTCGACCTGCTTGACGCGGGCATCTACGCGGGACCCATGGCGGCGCATCCTGATGTCGTCGTCCACGTGGCTGGCGATAAGTAAGTCCTCGGTGGCCTCAAGACACTGGTCGTAAGACGCGGGCTCGAGGCCGACGCCCCCCGTGGATTTCTGAAGCTCGAAGGGGGAACCACGCAGGGCACCGTGGAGGACCGCGCCGGGCTCGAAGCATTCCACTCAGAGCCGCGTCTCGTCGCCGCCCCCAAGGCTGGGCAAGGCGCGAAGGACAGCTGCACTGCCAGGAGGCTAGAGTGAAACAGACAATACGCTCTTGCTCACCTGCGGCATCGGCCAGCTCTCTGCGCGCAAGGCCTTCGAGGAACGCTTTATCAACGACGAGACTGGCCAGGATCCAACCAGGGTAACGCGCTGCATGACCCGCCAACAAGCGCTGGGAAGCGCGTCGCGCCGCCCCAGCTGATGTTTCCACTGGGAAACCTCCCCGGCCCACACAGACCCCAGCAGCGCAAGGCGACGTCAAATAATATCCTCAACTGTTCCTGACAATGTCTTACGAATGAACATTTGCACACGCAACTCGAGGCGGCGACGTCCTGGGCCTTGGACAACAGCTCCACGACGAAGCATCGGCTGCCCAAAAGTGTCTTGAGTTCGGCCATGTATGCGGATGATACCTGTTTAGGGTCGTTGACGATGTCCTGCTTGGGAAGCAGAGCGACCTCTTTAACCGCCGCCGCTCTTGCGACTTCGACTCGGACGTAAACGCGAAATTCGTCGGGGAGAACGGCTTCCACTGAGGCTCATCTCATCAAATATAGACTTGCCATCTCATCACTGAGACAAGGCTCAGCATGCCCCCCGTGCTCGTCGGAGCCCAGGTCGTAGTGGTCGTCAGCAGCATCACGGCTCAATCTTCATATCCATCACAAGCGCATCAGAACGCTTGCCGGACAAAAACAAGACTTCACTGTGTTTGCGCTCACGCAGGTTTGCGAAATCCCGTTCGGAAAAGGGGTTCCCAACGCTCTCCTAATATCGGCATAAAAGGGGCGGGTATCGAATAGAGGGTCAGAGAAGTTCGAATAAGGGCACATGATTCCACGCACTGATATTCGGTATCCATGAAATCCTGGTACCAGTCACCCATGATCCGCTTCGGTTGTAAATCACCCGCTTCGGTTGTAAATAATCGGCCGTGTCCACATACGTATCCCAGTGGAGTCTCAAGGAGGTTCGCGTTTTCGCCGTCACCACCACCTGGAGGTCCATCAGCAAATCAAATGAAGTCTTCGTCAAACAAATGGACGGGCCTACTTGCAATCAGGCACTGAATGAAGCAAGCCTGGCTGCTGCCAAAGAATTCCGCCATGTTAAGAGACGCATTGGCAGACTGGTGGAAGTGAAGGCCGGGCTGGACATATTGTCGTATAGAAAAGCATACTTCAGTCAGCTCCATGGTAGGCATGCAGGGAGTAGACGCTGCTCGATTCTGAACTGAAGCCCGACGATGTTCTGGAACGCCACATGCACATTCGAGACTAGCTTGCTTCCCAAAAACAGTCGGTATACCTTCCTGTGATCGGTGACGTAGCCAAAGACCATGGGGGATTTTCCTGCTGGAGACGCAGCAATGTAGGACATGATGATTGATTCGCATAGCCACGTTGTCCATGCCAAACTACTTGACCATGAAGACTTCGATTAGTCGGGTTAAATCTCGCATCGGGGAAGCGAGCCACAGCATCTCAGGTCCCAGATTGGGCTACGTGCCGTGTCTCTTCTTCGTTGACTTCGGCGACAGTACAAAGACCATTCCAACCTCGTGGTCGTCTTTTGTGACCGCTGGCCGATGGCATCCACCAATACGCCTACTCGAAAGATCATGCCGCCGTCCGCTCTGGTCTTCGCCTTGAAAGTCCTGTTTGCCTTGGCTGTAGCAGTGGCCTGAGTAATGACTCCAAAGGCAATCTCACGGATAAGGCATTGACATTCCTGGCCTGTGGTCTCGGCTTCTTGAAGATCAGGCCCTTCAAAGTCAGGCAGCGTAGATGGTTGTCTGCTGGTGTATGCGCTATAAGTTGAGAGTCCATCACAACTGGG